GCGCGCACTCTTCTTCACTTCTCTGTCCAGTGTAGTGTTTTATACAGTGTACTCAGTTCCTCTTCTCGTCATTGAGCATCCTTGCACTGGTTTATCTTCTGCTTCACCATCCTCCTTTCCCAGCTGTATCTGCTTCCATGTATCCGTCGAGATCCATTCCTTGTCTTCTTTCTTCTTCCTTCCTAACACGGCTGTGCAGGTTTCTTTCTACATCTCTTTCAAAGATTTCCAATGTTCTTCAACACAAGTTTAATCGTTACCATGTCATTTTTAACATTCAAATTATTTCATTATTTGCCAACCCATTGAACCGAATTCATTTAGATTTCGGTAACTGCGTGAAGAACTTACATACTCGTCAGTAGCAGTCTTAAAGGCTCTTCCAATTATGGATTTTTCATGATCGAGCTTGCTGTGTTTCGACAGTTCAATAATCACCTGCCCACTTCTCAGATTAGTTTTCTGTAAGGTGCATGGAGTTTTTGATATATCCTCTACAGTATGCATTGACTCATCTGAGTAGGCTGTGCTGTCATGCTCTTTTGTAGATGATCTGATTAATAAGGTATGCTATCTCAATGATGTACTTCTAACCGCTTGATAAGCTGTGAGCGACTTGTGAATTTCGGTGGATTCGGGTTTTCTAGTTGCTTGCTGGTTAGTGGGTCTGATGTCTTTATCTGAGCTAGCTTAACAAAGATCCTGGTGTCCATTTGCCCGTATGGACATAAATTGTTTTTGATATAGTAATCAACTTTCATGCAAAGCAACTATCATATTTGATTTAGGTGTAGGGAGCTTTGAGTTCCCTTGAGTAACTGGATAATTGTTGACTTTAATGCCCGGGGCTGCATTAATAGTCCTTGAGGACTTTTCTTGAACACTTAGTATGGAGCTTAGTTTTAGAAAGACTGGATAACACTAAACATGTTCAATTATGTTGTGAACTATCAACAAGTACTTCATGGCTTTAGTTAACATGAAATGATCTCGTGAAGGTTAGTGTAACATCATCCCTTATATCAGTCTTCTTAAACTCAACTTCCTTTTCACTACATACATAACCGGAGTTTTTACTGAAAGTTTTAAAACTTGACGACTTATGGGAGTAAATACTGGGTGAATGTCATTCAGTATTTGAATAAATTTTCAAAGAATCTTCAGTGTTGCTGATTCTATTCTTCATTGAGTTGCAAAACTGCTTGAAATTCTTCATTAGGTTTTGTCATTCTTTTACCCGTTTCCACTTATTATAACCCTGTCCCTAGTTGTTCTATCCTTGTAGTGACTAATTCATAAATGTATGTAATTCGGATTATGTGAAGAAGCCACTACAAAGAAATGACAGGCAGCGACGGAGTTATAACATATTGATCTCAAGAGATATGGGTCAAGAGATTTGAAAAATTTTTAAATGAGGATAATGACGATAATCAAACTGAAATATGTAAAGTGAATTGGGATAAATTAATCCACAGGTGAAATGGAAAAGATAAGGTTGGAGGAAGTGTTTTCATAAGTCCCTCTTAAATACAGTTTAGACATTTGATCAGGTGTTGCTAGTGCTTCAATTTTGCATATTTGATGGAAACACAAACATTTGAAGTAGTTCAACTTAAAGCTGTTATTTGCCTTTAAAGAATCATCAGGAACTGAAAAACCCTATCCTACATAATATTGTTTCATGTGGATGTTGTTCTTCTTCTCTCACCGTTGGTTAGAAAAAAACAGGTAATGTTCAGTAGTATGTTTTTAGATGACTTGTTAACAACGTCCAACATGGCCAACTCAACAGGTGGATGTATGTAGATCCACACTGATATGGAAATAAACGGTAACCAACTCTTTATATCGAACCCAAGCTCGAGAGTACTAAACGTAAGTTATCAGAATATAAGACTTTCTTAACACTTTGGTAGACAGTTCGGGAATACTGCAGCTGTAACATCCCGACTGAATATAAAATACTTATAATGGAAAGTTTCTTAAGGAACTGCAATAACGTCAGGACTTATTTGTTTCCTTACATATTTATCAACAAATAAGAGGGTCTCGTTCATAAACCTTCTACATGGATAAAGTTCTGCGATCATTTCCTTCAGTGGTCTATTTTCAGGACTTGGTATGAAGACATAAGCCAAGACACGACCTAGCAGAGACACTAGGTTACTCCAACCGTTCAGTTGTATATCTCATCATTAGATCAGAATATTACATTGAAAGTAAATCTTAACATCAGTTCTTTTAGGTGGTTTCTCAGCGATCCAGTGTTAATATTACTAAACCCGATGTTATCCCAAAACTTAGAAAACAGCTTCTACAGCTGAAACGTTTAGAAATCAAGAAGAAATACCAAGCGATACTACACTCCTACCCATTACGATGATTTCTTTCAGACAGTTAAACGAACTAAATGGATCAGGAAAGCTATACTTACACATTATTTAGCCTCAGAGGTTGAAGAATTGTAGCCAGCCATTTGTCGTTAACGTATAAGATGGATTAAGCTTGTCTAATATCAGGAAACGTGGAACACCATTTCGGACGGTTTAAGATGTTCATTTGTGTCCAAGGTTTTGATATCCTATTACCAATATGTCCTGTTGTGTCTTTCTACTCTCCGGATTTAAGAAACATGTTTCCATCACATAGAATTGCAAAAAGTCTATAAATATTGACTATTCAATCCAAAAAACGATTCCCGATCCCATACATGGGCATCCCAACATCGCATCTTTACCATTAATTGGTTTTTTTCACTTGTAATTTGTACTCTTTTGACATCAACCATCAACATCTGAACTTCTTTTTAAAGTAGCAATCGCAACAATGTTTCAATCTGGATTTGACTCGTTTGGGAATAAATCATAAGTGTGACTGATGAAGTTTTCAAACTCTACATTTATATCTTAACTAATTGGTTTTAAACCAAGCACAAAGGATCTTTTGTGCAAAAGAGAAAAAAAATCTGTATCTGAAAGTTAGTTGGGGGTCATATCACAGAAATTGAATACCTATATCTCAAACTTACAAGGAAACATTCCGTATAACTCGGTAGTTACTACACTTTATAGTTATTTCATACCCACACCTTCTGGTCATTTCTGAATCAAATCTGATGCAGATTTTAAAGGAAACACATTCTTCACTTGTCAGTTCGTAAATAAAATATTTCTTACTAGTTAATGAAGCTGTACACGGATGGCATCAATGAAATCTACTGCATGGTACTTCAGTATTTAACCATAGAAATAAATGTGATCAAGGTGAAGTGCTTCCCAGTAGAATTTTTGATCTTGACACTTCTCATTGATGGATAGTAGCTAGCAGCAGAATCCATCAAGTGCTTTTCGTCTGGACGTGCCTGCCTCCCAGTTAGTGATGTTGTCCCCACAGCTACTCAAACTCAGGACAGATCGCTTCAAACTCCAGTGCATTATCTACTAGACCACCGAACCACGATAGTCACTTCTTGTGAGATAACTATAGTGTTATTGTTGTTGCTTGAATTATCCCATAGTTGACTGGAGCGAATCGATAGGTCTTTATTGGCATATGAGTTCCCGCCCGGGTGCCTCGATATCGCCTGTGTTTTAATTATGTGTTAATGATGGATAGTGGCCAGCAGTGTAATCCAGGATATGCGTGGTTCGTCCTATTTGGGACTCATCATTTCTTTGATGAAATGTTTTGTTATATGCATATAGTAGAGTGTGTATGGTTATGGAATACGATTTTGGCAGGAAAATTTCCTGATTTATTTATTCATAGGCTAAAATCATACTTACTTCCATACTAAGATTCGTTATTTTGTTATTTGTATTTCCCAATGAATGTAAAATAAAATAAATTTCTTTCGACTGACGTTTCGCTATTTAATGCTGCTAACAGCTTTATCAAACTTATAATAAACTGGAATTTACAATATTCAAGCTTATATATGATAACTTGACATGTGTGCTTCTACATGAATGATTTCGCGCTGTCAGAGTTGTAGAATAAAGTTGATATACATATGCAGGTGACCTGAAATTATAGTATGTAGGGCTATGACTGATGTGTTTTCAAGTTTTTTCAGTTCCACTAGATTTCTAAGGGTTCAGATGGAAGGTCTTCGGTGTTCATTTTTCCTAATTTTGATTTCACGGGAAGTTTGTCCTATGCATATTGCATCACATTCTGAGTATTTTATTTCATGAATTGTGAATTTAGAAGGATCTCGTCCTTCAATATGTTTGATGTTCTATGGAACACTCTGATATTGTAGTTGCTGAGCACTCTCCTAATTTCATCCGATGTTTGTAATCTTTAAAGGATAATTATTGTTGACGCCCATGATTTTGGAGTAGTTTCACGATCTAATTTAATGTTATATTCCATTTTGCGCATGATTTACACCGGACAATTATTCATTTTAAGTATCCTGTTCACATATTTTAATTCCTTAACTCTTTCATTTTCATCCGTTACTACAATGTGGATGCAACAAAATCTATCGCATTAACTGGATGTGATGAGTTGAAATGTAAATATTTGTTCGAATACGTTGCTTTCCTGAAAATGGTTATACCTAAATGTGCATTTTCTTTCCGCTTAACAAGACAGTTCCCCTCTAACCGTTTCTTTTTCCAAGTTGAACTTAACACAGGGAGACCTAAAGTTCAGCTAATCTAAGAATGCCTGCTATAAGTCACGTTTTAACATTATGAATGTGTCATTAACATATCTCAGTAGTGTGAACCAACTAAGAAAGCATATTTTTCGAAATTGTATATTTAAATAGCCTTGATTGTGTAGTGTGTGTAGAATAGTTTTTATATACGCCAACAATATGAGAAAACATTAAGCAGAAGGAGTAAGATGAAATCTACAATTCTATCGTAAAGATTAAATGTAATGTTGCCCAGTCTTAATGGTAACTTTTCTACCCTGAACCTCTTCACTATCTTGCATTGTTTCGTGTATTATGATCAAGTATTATTATTGTTGTCTTTTTTAAGGGCCCATATGAGGTAGATGAAGAAGATTTAAAACATCCTGAGAAAATGAATCCACGTCAAATTTTATATTGGTATTGGGCAAGATGGGGTTGTTGGTATCGATATCAACCGTTAGATCATATTAGAAGTTATTATGGTGAAAAATTGGTTTCTATTTCGCCTGGCTTGGTGAGTTTGCCAATAGGTAGTATGGTTTCATAAGTGTGTGTGATTAGTCACTCAATAAACATGGTCATTTAGCAAGTATTAGTTCACAGAGTTAAATATTACTAGATGTCTTTGCAAATAAGAAACCTACCGGAGTTGCTGTAGAGGCTTTTCTAGTAATCACTGAAATAACCAATTAGATTTCTTCTACGTCAAAATTACAGAATTCTGTTTGGATAACTTAAGATGGGGCCACTCTAGCAAAGATCGAAATAACCAATTAGGTTTCTCAATTTCGGCTGGGAAGGCATATTTTCACAAAATGGAGAAATCTAATTAGTTATTTCAGTTGCTGTCCTGTTGGCCTTTAGAGTCACTCATCTACCGAGTGGCATTTGAGGCTACCTGAGCAACTGCTGAGATTGCCGATTTGGTTTTTATATCTACCTACCAACTACCATTTCAACCGAAATATTATAACTTAATAGGTAATTTCAGCAGTTGGTAGCGTGGCTTTTAAAGGGATTACTCCAACAACCACCCAAACAAATGCTCAGATAGTCAATTGTAATTATATATTTTATGAAAAACTGGTTGCTTTGACGGCTATAATAACCAATCACATTTCGGAATTTCGGCTAAGAAAATAGCTTTTCATAAAATAGAAAGACGTGATTGGTTACCTCATCAGCTGTTCGGGTTGCGTTTAAAGTCACTCTGAAAAACTTCCTTCTTGTAAGCCACACCGAAACCAGATCTGTTATTTCACTTGTTACCAGTATAGCCGTCAAAGTAATCCAATCTATATAAGATATGATTTTTGTAAGTTGAACTTTGCTAAGAAATACTGATTGTCTACATTCTTCCAGAAGTACAAGAAACCTAATCAACCATCACCTACTCTCCTTACTTTTGTTCCCTTTTCTTCTTTCACTCTTTAATCTTTATGTTAAGCCGCTTACAACTACCTTTACCTCTGAATCTGCTATCACGGCTAGCGATCAAACCCAGCAAACCACATTTGTTTCCTTCTAAAATCACACTGAGATGTCACATTTAATCTCTCAACTTCTGAACCCAGTGGCGAATAGTATAGCAGTCAGAGCTTGCCAAGGCTTTGAGATCACGTGTCATTTAAGTATCTTGTATTTCTGAGTCAAGTATGCAGAACCCAAGTTTGCTTATTACCTTGACTCAGCGTGCTTAGTGTTATGAATCTGAGACATTAACTTTGCAAGTGCTTTGTGATTCAGTAGCTCTCGCAGACTTTCTCGAGCGGGGATGGTTCCAGAAGAAAGCTTACTTCTCCAGTCAACACTGGACTGTCTGCAACCCGAGTAAAAAGATGTGTAGCAACTGAGAAGGATCTTAACACTAGCCAATACCTGATCATAATCTCCGCCAACACACCCAAGCGATAATACAAAGGGTGATTTTTACCAAAGACTGTTAGTTCTGCTACGGAAATCACAACGTGCATATATTGTCATACTAGCGAGTGACTTTAAGTAGGGAAGATGGATCAGTTAGAAAGGCACCTAGGAAGTATCTACAGTATCCCATCCGTACGAATCCACACGGTTGATCGTATTTTAAAACTTTCTGCTGATAACCACTTGTTCCTGGTCAGCACAAACTTCAAGTGTAAGGAGAAATACTGGCACACACGTCTTCCGCGTATATCAAATCAGTGATGGAAAAAGGTAGATCATATTCCTGTAAGTCGTCTTTGGAGAGGATCGATGGGGAATTTTCTCTTCCTCCAGCACATGTTTGGACTCCGAATAGACATTAAAAAGAACACGTGTTTGTTTTCACCTCAATGAGAACTGGAAATAAATAACAATGATGATTCTGTGTGTACGATTGAAAGGTGATAACATCAAGGGAATGTTTAGGAAGGAAATAGTGACGCATTTATTTGAACATGGCAGTAATTAACCCGCTGATGAAACCTGAAGAAATCTTGCGTCTGATGTAGAGAAAACGGTGCATAAAACTGACAACCGTTATCCAAAGTTTGGAGAAATCCACTAGGTTTTCACAAGATTATGTGCACTGATTGGTGAGAGAAAACTCATTCTAGCTGGTTTTCACCATGATAAAAAGCGAAAGCAACTTAAAGGCAAATTAACCAGGGATGTTCGTAATGACCACGGGCAATAGTGGTTTGCGAATGCGAGAGGATTGGAGAAGGCGTCAGAGCTATGTAATACCCGACAATTATTTTGGCTTTTTAAAGATACTGGGGACAAAAAGACGATAGTTGGGGAAACCATGAGTCGTTGATAACATCTCATGACAGGCGTCTAGGACGCTCATTGAAATTCTGTGAAGCATAGTTCAACTGGTCGGCGGCAGCACTTCAGTTGCCTAACAGCCAGACTGGACCCGAATCAGGTGTAGATGTTAGTCCTCCAAATCTCGTAGTAGTTGGGAAGAATGTCTCAAACATGAAACGATGCAAGGCAGTAGGACCTATTGGTTTGCCACTAGAAGACTTTAGAGATGCAGGTAGAAGATTATTAATTGGAGTGACGGAAGTTCTAGGTAGTGTGTGAAAATCAGACTGGTCCCATCAACCTGGCCTTTATTGCCAATCATTTTGGGTTATCGAAGAGGAATAAGGTCTTTTTATGACAAACATAAAGGAATCACTTTAACTAACATCGTGTCCAATACCCTACCATCTTTAGTAATCCAGCGCCTGACTGCAGCTCGGGACAGCAATCTCGAGAAGTTTAGGAAGGTTTCAAATCTTGAGGACGATGAGTCGACTGAATCGTCTCCCTTCGAGAGGTTTGGAACACACTCATACTAAATGGCGACCGATACGTGCCATATTTCTTGACATGAAGGAGGAATTCGACTTGGTCAACCCAGTCATATTGTGGCAGCGTCTAGGAAGTATAAAGTGCTTATCAGAACTTTCTACCCGACTTCACGTAAACATGTAAGGACTTATACAAATTTATCATCCGAATAGATGACAGTCAGCGGTATTCTCCATAGGTGCCTTCTGTTCCATTCCAGTTAAACTTCGTTATGCATGCATTGATGAACATGACTATACATACCTGCAATTTCAAAGGAACCGACTTACTCTTTGGAAGCCGTCTGGTTGACTTAGAGTAGATAGAACACATTTTCCTGCCATATAAAGATGCAGACAAAATCCAGGACCTTCTGAATTCCTTACGAGAAAATTTGAGTTTGTTTAACATTCATTTTCGAACTGTCAAATATAAGGGGATAACTTAGGCGTGGATTTCAGCTAATCACATTTTAAGAATAGGTAGGGAAGCGGTTGCATTTCTTGACCACTTTACGTAGTACAGAAGTTTTGTCAGGTCAACTGATTTTTTTGCTAGGGAAATATCAACTTGGATTCAGATGCCTTACTTGACATTTGCCACTTAGGTTATTTCCGACTGCCTTGTATAACACGGGTATACTGCTCTGTGATTCACTCTCTTTTATTATACAGCTGGGAGCCGTTGAAAAATGAAGATATGAAGAGACTACAGGTTTTTTACCATAGGCACCTTTTTAGCATTTCTTGTGTATGGTAGAATCGTCGTGTGTTTAATGTTGAGGTCAAGCAAAGAAGCCAAGTATGTCGATGAGATTGTAAAACTACAGCAACTAAAGCGGCCTGGACATGTGTTACGCATATCAAACCACTGTCTTGCTCAACGTGCAATACTATGTGAAGTTATATTGTGTTGAAAGAAGGCTCAGGGTGGCCACATTAGGATTCGGCACCAGTAGATGAAGTCACGAACCTTGAGTTTCAAATTCCTTCCCCCACATCCACTTTTTTTGGAACTTTGATATCACTTTTTCGACCCACTTGCTGTATACATACTACTGTGAAGTGCAGCATCTTCAACCAGTGCACTTCTATGAAAGGTTTTAAGTTGGTTTTATCTGTTTGTTGTCTATTGAACTTTGTTGTCGAGAAACTGTTAGATAAGAAAGAAGTGAAGCTCACGATGCTAAAATGCTGGATAAGATATCTTCTGGTAAAATAACAAGGGGGCAGAATTTAAATGAAACGCATTATCTGTTTGCATAGCACATTTCAAGCAAAATTGACCTAGTGTATACTTACTATAACGACTGTATGGATCCAAAAAATGAAAACAGGTTATACAAGAAGTCGAAATAACAACGAATGAACGACAATAGAACAAAGTTGTACTATATCAACCTTGGCTATGAAAACCAGACATGAGTTACTAAATGATGATCAAAATAATGATGATCTGTTTCTGAACCCCTGAGTATAGACATCTAAAAGGCTTACTGATTGGTTCTGAAAGATATAATATATGCAACAGTTTGATGACTCATCTAACTGATACATCTTTAAAGTGAAAGAGATAAATAGTCATCTGTTTGTTTGATTTAATTTGGTGTTAAAACTCAGTTAAAAATGTAGAAAACAGATCACAATGGCTTTATCTGTCAATAAGTCTATGCTATTCCTTGTAATATAGAATTATACCACATTATAACTGAAATTCATAATTCATATTGACTAGTGCTTGTGTATGATTAAGAGACTTGGCGGGTTACGAAAAGCATTTCCAACAAACTGCAGATTCACATCACATCAACAGCTGTCGCCCCCAGACTCACTCCATACTCACACTGAAGATGGAGATCAGATGGCCAGAATAATAAGAATAAGCAACAACTAACAAGGAGTTCTGGTCTGGCAACCAACCAACCAATCAACAACCGGTCGTCCAACAAACATGTAGCAGATGAAAGTGGAGATCGATCGGACAGGATAAGATAGGATTGGATTGGACATACGTTGAGAAGACAGTTTGGGGACATCACGTATCAGGCCAGGTCAGGTCAGGCTATGCCAGGCCAGACCGTCTGGTGGAACAGAAATGGGAAAGGATGAGTTTGGTGTCCGAGCTAAACGTGACATGGAGGAGATGGTGTGAGGAAGAAATGAAAGGTTATGGGCGGTGGTGTAGACAGGTTGAAAAGACAGGAGAGAA